GGAATCACATTCAATTATATGATTAAAATACAATTAAAATTAAAAGTGTTTAAAATCAATTTAAGATAGTAATAGCCTAGAAAAATTAGAACCAGTATATTCACTGGGAAACTGGAAGCTCTCAATTGTGAAATGCCTGCATAAATAGAAAGTTTTTCACCTGCCACTGGAAAGAGAACAAGGAATGGATAAACCTAGTTTTTCTTGGTAAGGAGTTCCAGAGCCTGGGCTTGATAAGGCTCTCTCAAGTCCTCACCAGATGAGTCTCCAAGGTTATGTTTGTCACATGTATAATATGACAATGTAATCGCCTTAAAGCCCAACCAGATATCCTATAGAGACTTGTGAAATACTCTTCTGATGCACCATCTGCCCTTGCACTTTAAAACCAAGCAAACATTTGGACACATGGAAAGAAGAACAGTGATGGCAGGGAGTTGATTTCAAGTAGAAAAAGGCCAGGGGAGAGGGGGAAGTGTTAAGTACCCTTTGCTCCTGTTCTCTCAATTCCATTCCTTCATGTTTGCTTAAAAATTGACATTAGGGGAATGTTACATGTCCTTCCGTATTAACATCTACTTCGCATTAGCTTAAGCTTGTCTCATCTAGTGGCATATTCTGGCACCTACCCCAAAACTTCATTTCAATTACTCTTGCCATTTACTGATCTACCCAATGGAGTCCTTCGCTGTTGGTGAAAATGTTCACAGAAAACAACTATTTAATGTTTACATAGAATCCATATCTGCTTTCATTCATTAATTCCATCACTTTCATCTATTGATTTTGAATCATTTAAGAAAATCAATGAGGCTAGAGTAGCTAAATTTGTTTTTCATGGACACATGCTGCTTGTTACCAACAGCTGTTCATGGATACAATGAATGCAAAGTATATTGCACCTGCATCCGGCAGAGTGTTTGCATTAAGCTCGTCCCTCTTACCTGCCCTTTTAAAAGCCAATTTACCTATTGGATACCTCAGCCAATTTTGAACCCAAGAGATTGACGATCCTTGTTTAAGCAACACACATGATCATCAAATCTATTAAAACAGATACCAGGAAAGAAGCATTAGCTACTTCCGAGAACTCAAATGCCTGGCATGTCCATTTCTGTCTATTGGAATCAATACATCAATGGCAATAGAAATGAAAAATAAGAAGAATAGAATAGAATATGCCAACACACATGACTAGAGATGTCGAATCTGGCTACAGTGACATGCCTTAGTTACATCCCGTTTGGATTACTGTAATGTGCTCTATGTGGGGCTGCCTTTGAAGACAGTTCGGAAACTTCAGCTGGTGGAAAACTCTGTACCCAGACTACCGACTGGGGCCAGCTACAGGGAGCATATAATGCACCTGTTACAAGAGCTGCACTGGCTACCAGTCTGTTTCAGAGCCCAATTCAAAGTGCTGGCCATTACCTATAAAGCCCTATATAGCTTGGGTCCAGGCTACCTGAAGGACCATATCTCCCTATATGGGCCTTCCCAGCGATTAAGATCAGCAGAGGAGACGGTTCTCTCGGTCCCTTTGGCAGCACAAGCACAGCTTGATGGGGACACTTCGAAAAAAGCTAAAGACCCATCTCTTCAGGTAGGCTTTTAACAATTATTAACTGACTCTCTGAACCCCATTTTAGTATATAATTTTAATCTTTGTTATGTTGTCATGTTTTAATCTTTTAATTGTATTTTAAATCATATATTGTTTTAATATTTAACTTATTTTGTTTTTAGATTGCGTGAATTTTAACGTTGTAAGGCGCTTTGGGTCCCTTGTTGGGAGAAATGTGGCATCATCATCATCATCATCATCATCATCATCATCATCATCATCATCATCATCATCATCATCATCATCATCATCATCATCACAACAACAACAACAATAACGATAATAATAACAATAACGACAACAACGACAATAATAATGACAACAACAACAACCAGCTAAACACAAGAGCACAAATTCAATGAAATGTGTGTATACTAAACAGGATTTGGGCTAATATAATAGATAAAAAACAATACAATTTCAAATTCTTGACAACTTTGAATGCCTACTCATTTTGAAGGAGATACTTACTAGCTTAGTCTGTGCATAAACAGCATACTTTCACAATAGCGCATACCTCAGGCAGTCTGGAACGGAAGTCGGGGCTGAACTAAACAGCAATGGTTTTACATACAACACTGGGAAGAGGCATAATTTTTACAGCAAAAGTGGAACACAGATGAGGAAGGCATAAAACTCTCCCTCATTTTCCAGCTCTTCACTGATATAAACAGACTATTCTGCCTATTCTCCCTAGTTCCTCTTTTAATACAACCTCAGACTGACTGTAAGGTGGACTACCATGGACAGGTACAGGGGAGTGCTCTAGCTCCAACAGAGGAGCTGCTCTGTTTCTCCTAAGATAGTTTCTGCTATAAATCAGGATAAAGATTTTCCAGTGTCCTAGCTCATGTGGGTAATGCAGGTTCTCCTTTCCGGTCTCTTCACTCCCTACATGTATGAAAGCGGTGAAATAGAAGCACAGGGATAGGTCTAGAGCAATCTCCTCGACCTGTGATAAATATGGACAATTGCTTACCTGTAACTATAGTTCTTTGAGTGGTCATCTGAGAATTCATACTAATGGGTTTGTTCTGTGCCTGAACAGACCTCCTCAAAATGTTCCAGAACCTAAAATAAGTTGTTAGCTCCACCCTAACACTTAGTGCATGTGCCTTCACCCAACGGTCATCCCCCAGTTCCCATGTCCACTCCTGACTAAGATAAAATAATGCATGACAGAGGGGAGATTGGGAGGGTTGTGTAGATTCACAGATGACCACTTGAAGAACTATAGTTACAGACTAAAAAATCTGTTCTTCTTCTTCATGGTCTCCGTGATTCATATTAATGGGTCACATACCAAGCTCACATACTGGCTGGCAGGATGTCAAAGCGATACTGATGAAATTACTGTTTGACCAAAGGATGCATCTCATCTGATGGTGACATCCTGTCTATAATGCTTGACACATTTCATAGGTTGAGACCCTGCTGCTGACTTACACATGTTCATCACCTGTACCCCTTTTATGAAGGCAGTGGAGGCAGGTAGAGCCCTGATAGAATGTCCCTTTAGGGAACTGGCCATGGGCTTCCTTGCCAACTGACAGGATAGAGTGATGATATGAACCAACCAACTGGAGATCCTTTGAGACAATGCATGATTACCTTGGCACCATCCTTGATAGGAGATGAATTATCTGTTACTTTTCCAAGAAGGTTTTGTTCTGGATATATAGACAGCCAGGGTTCTATGGGAGGAAAGAGACATCTGTTGTCTCTTATTCTTGAAGAATTGTAGGAAGGGAGATTCACAACGTAAAGCAGCCAGCTCGCTTGCTTGCCTTGCTGAGGGTCATTGACAAGAAATACTGTTTTGTGAGTAGGTAACTGTAGATCATAGGTAGCCATGGGCTTGAACGGTGGTTTTGTTATCTGATTTAGAATCAGTGGTAAGAATGATTGTGAGGGTATAAATTCTGTAGGCTTTTCAGGGACCTCTACTGCTTCTTGAAAAACTGTGATGCTGGAGAGCCTACCTTTAAGGTTTCCTACCACTGCAGAGAAGTAGATGTTAAGGGAGGAGCATGAAAGTCCCTTCAAATGCAAGAGAAAATGAATGGTCCCTCATCATTTGGAGGAGACTTGTGAACCATGGCTGGTGTGGCCACCATGGTGTTAGAAGTATTGCATTTGCTCTCTCCTGGCACAACTTTATGATTACCCTTTGAACCACAGAGAAAGGAGGAGAGATAGAGGAGACCTCTGGTCCATTGAATAATGAATTCATCTCCTAGAGACTGAGCTCTTTGCCCCACCCAAGAACAGTATTTCCGGCACCTTGTACTTCTTGCTGTTGCAAACAGGTCTATCGGCAGTTGGCCCCAACAACTGCATAAGGATTGGAACGGTTAAGGGGACAGTTGCCACTTGTGCATCTGTGCAGTCTGCCACATCAATGAGTGTGCTATCCTATTGTCTCCTACCATGTGAACAGACACAGGGTAAATGTGTGGCACAGACTTGGCATCAGACAACTGGGTCAGAGATGGGAAGTGTTGTCCTCCCCCAAAACCAGATCTTCTTGGACTGTTTTTCTCTGAGAGCAAAGACTGCAGGATTGAGGATGGACTACCAATGAAAGCTATATTCCCTGTTTAGATGACGCCTTTAATTTTGCAAATGTGATTGTGTTTAGTGTTGCTCTCCTAAACAGTAGGGGCACTTGGAATGCCTACCCGTAAGCGGAATCTTGCTTTTGCAGGAGTTGCACCTTTTAAAAGGGCTGTAGAGGCCAGGAAAGGTGGGAACAGAGTATTGGTGAAAGAGACTTTTTCCCCCTTGGTTTTTTTTTTAAAAGAAAACAAAGGAAGGAAAAAGGTTTGCAGAAAACAAACAAACAAATGGGAGCTAACTAAGGTAAGGAAAATATTTACATAACTACGATCCGGACAACTGTTGAGGTGCTGTTTCAGTGGTGGTGAAAAAGGAACTGCGGAGTAATTATTGGGTAGAAGAGAATGAGCTAAATGTTAGGATGGGGCTAACAATATCTTTCATTCTGTGGAACATTCCAAGGAAATCTGTGCAGGTGCAGAACAAACCCATTAATATAAATCACAGAGACCACCACCACCACCCAAAAAAAAATGCACCTACACATGTGCAGGACTCTCTCCTCTTCACGCTCCTCATGGATCATGTGAGCAAAGTGATGAGAGACAGGACCAGAATAGCTACATCTTTTGTGATCGTCTGTTACAGAAGAACTGAATAAGACTATTGTTACAGGTGGCACTAGCTAAACAATCAATGCCCTACATTAAAACCAGTAAGGTGCAAGGCAACTAGCAAAACCTGAACTCTAAAAAAGTTGTATGCTCATGCTATCCTCTGTAAATCAATCTGGAAAAGACAAAACAATTTTCTTTACCTTCTCATGGATTTCCTGAGTTGATTGCGCATCACAGAATGCAACAGTAGCCAAATCCTTCAAAATTGGCATCTCCACTGTGCAATCTCTTCCATCTAGTAAAGCCACCAATGGACGAGGATGCAACGGGCCATTCATTATTTGTGGGCGAATACCTGGAACCAAATGGAGTATAAGTGTTATATAAACTTAATATAATATTATATAATATAACCTTAGAACTGCAGAGCTGGGAGGAACCCTATTGATTACCAAGTCCAGCCCATCAAGAAGGCACAGTGGGGAATCGAACTCTCAAACTCTGACTCCACAGTCAGATGCCTAAATCACTGAGCTAATCTGACAGTTCTTAATAATGCCAATGATGGTCACAAGGAAAAGCTAAAACTATTGTAAAATATTTTGACTTTACTGCTTGAGAGAGAGATTCCCTGTTTTATTTCAATTGACCATAACCTAGCTAGTTATTGACATTTGCAGAAGTGAAACTGTGTATGTCACAGTGGCAAACTGCTGCTAATTAACAAGTTTCTTGTTGGAGTCCTAGGTGTTCACCTGAATGGGTATGTATCTGGGAATGCAGACAACACTTAGTTAATTGCTGGCAATTTGTTGCTGTGAATTGTTGAAGTGCATTTACGTAAGTAAACATTTCCAACAGAATTCTGAATACAGTAGTAACTTCATTCATTTGGTTTAAAGTACAACCTATGTATACCTATGTGTTGTATTTTTTGTCTTTGTGTACTAGTTCTAGTTTATGATGTTCCTAATTCATAATGTCTAGTACATATTTTGTTTTTAAAATTATACTACTGTACACATTTTACTTTACATTGTTGTTAATTATAGCTTTTATTTTCCTTTGTAAACCACCCAGAGTGGCCTTGGTAGGCTGATGGGTGGTATAGGAATCGAATCGAATCAATCAATCAATCAATCAATGACCACTGAGTGCAGGGGTTATTATTTCTAGGCAACTATGTATAAAATGTTCATATAGGGTTCTTGGTAGTTTCCAGTCCCCACACAAATCATTCCCAAAACCATTTAGCTTCAACAATGCCAGAATTCCAATGTAGCATACACCGCAACTAGCAGCCTACTCAACTGGTTGCACATATCTAAATGTGCCCTCCATCATCACCATCCTCCCCCAAAATTTCTTTTCATTTTTTTGGGAAAATGTTTTGTGGAGCTCAGAAAGTCCCCTTATTCTTTTTACGGAGGATGTATGTGGAACGGTAATTTTGTTATGCTTTGAGGGCCCTCAGAATCCATGCTGTTCCTCATACCCCCTGAGCTTTATTTATTTATTTTAATTGAGCCACTAGGCGTGCAAAGGGACTTTTTAGTTACAACCCCTGCACATATTATAAAGAAGAATGTTGGAGACAGGAGTTGCAGAAGTACCTTCTGAGATACAAAGTTGGCTATTCATAGTCCCTGGACCTCTAGAAGTTGTCCATCCCTGGCCTACACAATGCTTCACATCCATCAGTTTGTATGCAGAAGAAAAGCATGGGTTCCTAAGGATATGGATGGTGAAGAAAAGTCCCTATGCATACCCAGGAATCAATCAATCCTGTTTTTAAGGATTGGAGAACATATTTTATGTTCTCACTAGAGATGGGAGTATTTGTATATGAATATGAATATCCCCAACACAGGTGGAAATAATGAGGGTGATTATTCTGTATAGCCACTCATGATTTTGCCACTGCCGCCAGCTCTGCAGAGGCTTCCTATCGCGCGGTTGTCCGCAATCGATTACCCACTCCTGGCAGGAGGCAGGATGACAAGCTTCTCTGCTAGGTAACAGTAGCTAATCCATTGTGGAGAACGGCGCAATAGGAAACCTCCGCGAGCTGGCAGCAGCGGCGAAATCGTAAGTTGACAGTCTGGCCCCATGGAGCCGGACCCTCATTATTTCCACCTGTGCGGGGATATTCGTATACAAATACGAATACCCCCATCTCTAGTTCTCACCTTGAAAGACTGTGACTCAAGAAGCATTTGGGATAGAGTTAAACTGAACACATGAAGAGAGGAAGAATGTGAGTTCTATAAAAGAATGCCATATATGCAGCCTCTCCACTTGATCAGAAATTAAAAATCCATGCCTTGTAGCAACACCTTTCCTTTTCAGGCTATGCTTTTCATATAAAAAGACCCAGGCTGGGGGTAAGGAACAACTGGACAACTGTTCATGTTTCCAGATTAACTTTACCCTAAATGTTTGAGCAGAGCTAATGTGACACCTTCATAAAGTACAAAATACTTCATACTACAGACTACTAAATTTATTACAGGGTCAGTCTTCATTGATTACAAACCCCCTTCCCTCTTTTGTATGTCCCTATGTCTAAAGAAGTACAGAAGACTGCAGAGGTTCACACTGAAATAAAATGGTAAATCTTAAAGCTGCCACAATACTTTTTTGTTGACTCTGAAGCTAGTAACACAGCTATTTGTCTATAAACTGCTACAATCAAGAAACAGTAAGCTGCTCTGTTTTAATTCTAATTTTTAAAGAATTTACTACATTTCAAGCTACAAGAAAATCACAACACTGCATGAAAGTATGATGATATTAGCACATACAAAGCCAACAATAACAATACAGTATTAACAAACTTTGTACTGGAGTTTCGATTTAGTTCATAAAAGTAAAAGTGCTATACAAAATAGTGTAGCAAATGCTGCATGACTTTTTATCCTAACAGAGGGGCACTTGCACTCTTCCAATCAAAATAAAATTATGCTATACATGCTGAGAGTGCCTTTGTCTCCTATATATGTTTTGAGCATCTATACCAGTTTAAGAATATGAAAACTTAAAAGCCAGTAGTTTTCAAGATCTCACTATATGAAAAATGCATCACACTGTTTTCTGAAGTTTCTGCTTGAGAATGGTTTTATTCCATGTGTTACATGGGAAGGTGTTTTTGGAACAATGTGGAATTTCATTAAAAAAATTCTTGTAATTCTAATTTTTAAAGAATTTACTACATGGTTTTATTCCATTGGAACAATGTGGAATTTCATTAAAAAATTCTTCGAAGGCTATTCCACCCGCAAATATCCTAGTGGTCCTGTGCTTAACTCTTTGGATCCTAACTAGAACGTCTATATTTGGCCAAACAATATACTGTACCTCTAAAGATGCTTTCCACAAATTCACATGACCATCAACATTCAGAGCACATTGTCAGGTCTAGACATTCGACCCCTGAACTCTCCTGAAAGAGTCCTGTAGAACTTTATAGACCTCCAGGGAAAAATCAGAAGCCTTTGTTCATCACAGCCAGCATTTTTCCCAAAAAAGGATTAATTCCAGAATGAAACCAGACAATCATTTCCACTCATATTAATATTCATATGTGTATCAAGGTATAAGCCTTTTCAGTGCTGCAATAATTCCAGGCAATATCAGCCTGTCTAATTCTACAGGCTTTATTTATTGACACTGCTTCTATGCTCCATATGCATATGAAACCAGACAATCATTTCCAGTCATATTAATATTCATATGTGTATCAAGATACAAGCCTTTTCAGTGCTGCAAAAATTCCAGGCAATATCAGCTGGTTCCATATGCAGAAAAATACCTCAGTCTGAAAACATCCAAAAGTCTTACAGCTATTTAAAAAACTACAGGAAGAAATGCTTAAAATCAGGGTGGATTTGATTTTAATTGAATTAAATCATGATCTAAATTAAAAATGGATTTTTTGACATTTTAAATTTTAAAAATATTTTTTTAATTTTAATCAACTTGATTTTTAAAAAAACATTGCTTTTAATCAACCTGTTTATAATACATAAAAATTAAACTTAAGTTGCAAGCAAACACCTATTCAGAATTCAATCGAAAATGCATTCAAAATATATTTTAATAGTTGACATTTTAAATTTTAAAAATATTTTTTAAAATTTTTTAATCAACTTGATTTAAAAAAAATCATTGCTTTTATTCAACCTGCTTATAATACATGAAAATTAAACTTAAGTTGCAAGCAAACACCTATTCAGAATTCAATCGAAAATGCATTCAAAATATATTTTAATAGTAAAAAAAGCCAGTGAGAATGTCTTATCTCCCTATATTTATAGTTTTTTCAGTTGTGTTTCCAGAAGCCTGGAGATCCAAGGGGTGGAGCACCTTATCCTATATTTATAGTTCTTTCAATTGTTTTTCCAGAAGCACCTTTAATTTTTTAAAAATAGGAATCTAAACTGCTGTTGCACCTACTGCAAGGGCTCGTAACCAATGTTTCCTCTAAACCGCAGGTGGACAGAGCTGCATCAGCTAAGAGCAGGTGAGGAAGTGTTAATACACATTTGCTTCCATTGGCTGCTGATCCACACAACCAACAGGGGGAGCTTGTGCACAGTACTCTGGAAAATTAGAGGGAATGTTGTTTCTTACTCAAAATTTGGCAAGCTGCCACTATGACGACAACAACATTGTTTTGATTAAACTTTTGCAAAGTCTGGAGGACAATCATCTGTTGCACCAGGGTCTTGATCACCAGAATATCGCCCAGAGTAGTAGACCAGACCAGATGGGCGGAATAAAAATAAAATAAATAAAAATAAAATAAAAATTTTTTTTGTAACTTCAGAAAATGTAAGCTACAGGATCTGCAAATGTCACCTCCATATTTACACACAGGAACATAAACACGTTGAACTATCAAGAATGTTATATAGAGTGACCTTGCTCAGCTGGAGAGCTGGTTAATTATTTTGCAATGACTATTGTAAACTATAGTTTCATCCTCAATCTGAAAAGCAATCTTATTTTCAGGTTATTTTTCTTAGGTTAAAGGTAAAGGTTCCCCTTGACATTTAGTCCAGTCGTGCCAACTCTAGGGGGCGGTACTCATCCCTGCTTCCAAGCCATAGAGCCAGTGTTTGTCCAAAGACAGTTTCCGTGATTACGTGGCCAGCACGACTAGACACAGAACGCAGTTACCTTCCCACCGTGGTGGTACTTATTTATCTACTCACATTTGCATGCTTTCGAACTGCAAGGTTGGCAGGAGCTGGGACAAGTGATGGGAGCTCACTCTATTGCGTGGATTCGATCTTATGACTGCTGGTCTTCTGACCTTGCAGCACAGAAGTTTGTGCAGTTTAACCCACAGCG